TTATATATACAAAATTTTATATTAATTTAAAATAATTTGATATTTCATTCTTTTAAAAATAAAGTTAACATAATATATATATATTTCAAAATATATTAAAATATATATTTTTATTACTTTCAAATTATTATTCAATTTTAATAAAATTTGATATAAGCATATAAAATGATATCAACTTTCAATTTGAATTTATAAAATTTACATTTGATATAAAATTATTAAATAATATAATATTTAATAAAAATTACACTGATATTATTTATAACCATATATATATATATATATATGTACTCCAAGAAACTACCGGCATAGAATGTGTATAGTATTAGAATCTAATTAATATGGTCTTCATTTGCTTCTTGATTCAGTTATGCATAAACGTACCAACTAATTCATTTTGTTACGTGATATTTACTATGGGAATAATGTTTTACTACTTTAAAAAGGTGTCATGAGAATAAAAAAACAAAGCATACGTTATAAGAAAAATTTTAGGCAGAAGATTTTTGAAACTATTAATTAAAAATAAATAAAAATAAACTTTCTCATAATTATTATAGTAAAAATATTATTTTAAAAAGTTAAATAAAAACTAAACATATTTTATTAAAAAAAATCAGTATCTTAATTCCATATGCTCTAGAAAGTAATTTGGTTGAATATTAAAGATTTTATATATCAAACATCTATCTAACACTTTACTTATAATTACGTGGACTTAAAAGATTTGGAAGTCTACCATAAGATATTTAAATGTCCCAACTTGTGGATATACCTGGGTTCCATTTAAAAAAAAAAGGATCAAATAGGATCATCCTTCTCAGTAGTATAGTTTTCTTGATTTAGTTAGGTATATATAAATGTGACAACTGTAATCACCATTTATCATGTATCCTATACTCTAGAGTGAATTTTGCTCCTATGGCAAACCGATCACTGGAACAAAATTTCAAATTCTTGAATAATGATTGATTGGTTGGAGCTGGCATTTATATACATCAGCTGTATACATCAGCCAATGACGAAGGAGAAACACTAGTTTTCTCAACTTCATTTACTTTGTAAAATATTTTGATTTTGATGTCTGTAAATAAAAGGAATAGCTAGGGGAATTTCCTTTTACCAAATATTTTGTCTTTTTCTTTATGTCATCATCTTTTGTATCTAGATGTTCATCTCTAGTCGTTTTATTTATCATACTCCATCAGATATATGAACCTAATTTGGTCTTTCTTTTCATTTGTCATGTCTTCCCAAAAGCATGATTCCTTGTCATTTTATTGAATGATTTGAATTTTGAATCATGCAATTGGAGCACTTAAAATATATTATAATTAATACCCAAAATATGATTAAAACCAAAATCCTGTCATTTCAAATTAGTCAAGTTGATTAAGTTGAGAGACATGAATTGCAAGTGCACACAAATTCAAGTCCTACAATATTCTTTCCCTCTTTTCATATCCTTTTTTCTCTCTCCTAAACTTATTAGAAGTCTTTCCTTGAAAAAAAAAAAAATCAAAATCCAAAGCCTAGAATGGAAGTTTTACAACATATTTGTCTACATTTTCATGTATAATTAACTAACAAGTAACAACTTTTATGTCAAAAAAAAAAAAAAAACTAACAACTAGTTAGATTGGAACAAATTTGAGATGATCAGGTTTTGTAATATACAGTACTTTGTTAATTGCTGTTAGAGATAGAGAATGTGTCGGCAAATATTGACTTAATTAAGCCTCAAAATTGCTCAGTCTCAAGAAAAAAGTCTCCTCTCCACGGTGTTAGAGGAGACAAAAATTTGCATCAACTAGATGAATTTAAGTTGTAGGTGAAGTTTGAAGATTCTTCTCTTATATCTTAAACAAGGGCTTTGCATAAGATTTTTTTTTTATATTAGGTAAAAAAATATAATTAGATATTAAATTACTAGGTGAAGGTTTAAATATAATCTGGTCTTTATTAAATTGCCACGACAATGAATTTTTAAAAGTACCTGCAAATAAAAATGTTTAAAATGGGCCATTTAGAATAAACGAAAAAGTAATCATGTTGCATTTGGGGTTTTATGAACTGTGCTGTACTTATTTTGATGAATGATTGATGCCGTGAAAATTGACAAACAGTGATTCCCGTGGGACAAAACTAAGCCAACAACGTCTAAGTTGGTATACCCTTCTAGTGAACTACAAGTAGAACATGATCTCAAACAATTGTATACATATTTTTTATGTTATCATTTTGTAAGGTCTTTCATGCTTAGTTTATATGTTTATTATTTTTTATAACTATGCTATTGATATCAAATATACATAAATTTAATCAATAATTAGTTTTTGTAAAAAAAAAAACTCTTTTTAATAAGATATATCTATATAATCACATTCTTTTAATTTATAAGACTTAATACTGAAACTTTATTGGTTCCACACAAACTAACCACTTATTTATTTATTCTCATTTGAGGTTTCAACTCTTCTTTTGATAAATTATGAACACATGCTGCACAATCATAGCTATCTATTGCATTATATATCAGTCTGTTTGTGCACTATTGCAATGCCAAATATTCTCTTCCTTCTCTGTGATTGTATGGTCTCTCTTTAGTTCATAACTGCTCTAGGGAATCCAATCTTATCAAACTGAAATTCTGACAGAGAAAGGAAAAATGGAGTGTCAGCCACCAGAAAAAGCAAAACCAAAATACAGAAAGGGCTTATGGTCACCAGAAGAAGATAATAAGCTCAGAAACCATATCCTTAAGTATGGTCATGGCTGCTGGAGTTCTGTCCCCATTAAAGCCGGTGAGTGCTGAGAGCATATTTAGATACAAAGTTCAAATTTCTTTTGAGAATTTATCTGCGAAAAATAGTATTTTTTCAAGTAGAAAATCTCTCAAAAGTTTTTTTAAATTTGCATCTAAACATGCATTATTCTTGTCTCTTATTCTGTCATATATCATTCAATAGGGACTATCTTTGTTTTCCTGCAGAGAAGTTTCTCGTATTTTCATCTGATAAAATGTACCTTGAACTTATTTGAGTTAACACATAAAAATGTTTGCATGCTTCACTGGCTTTTGGCACCAACAGATTAATTTGACATATATAGTGAAATGAATTAACAATAAGACATTCTTTGGCTGAATCAATTCTAAGAATTTTATCCAATCATATAAATTCCAAATTAGAAAAGGTAAAATGTCGTTAAAATTTTGAAAGACAACCTAATTAGCATTTTGAGCCAACATTACATTCGCAAGTAAGGTGAATTTGTATTTATTTTATTTGGTGCTGAGAATTGGTAACTATGTACACAAATATCTAGGCTTGCAAAGAAATGGGAAGAGCTGCAGACTAAGGTGGATTAACTATCTGAGGCCAGGATTGAAGAGAGGGGTGTTCAGCAAACATGAGGAAGATACAATCTTGGCCCTTCACCACATGCTAGGCAACAAGTAAGCAAGAAGAACAATTTTTTTTTTATTTATTTAATGATTGCAATTTTACTTGAAAGTTTAAAGTAAAAGAAGAAAAATTGCAATTTTAGTCAGAATAATGATGCAGACTTAGCTACCTAATAGTTAATGCAAATGGGCAAGTCAAGGAAAACAATTTTTTCTTTTAACATTTTTCGAGGCCTCAAGTTAAAAAATGTAATTGGATAAGCAAGCTAGCTATAATTCTAATAAATTTTATTTTGTAGAAGCAATTGGGTCCTATTTAAATACTATACTAAAAGGAAAAATTGATAGGAGGGTCAAACCGTGAGCTGGCATGGATAACAAGTTTCTTTTTTTAAAGGAGGGAGAGAAGTGAATGTGCACAGAAAAGACAATTGTCCTAATATTATTTTTTAACATAAATTAAAATTCCTCCAATATTAATTGTTTTAGACGTCTCCATCATATATAATAACTTCCAGTTTATTAAATTTTTTACACTTAATTATACTTCTCTATCTTTTCCTCGTACTTTCTTTGATGTGAATTGAAATAATCTATGTTATTTGTGAAGTATATAAATAAGAACATATCTTCTGTTAATTCAATTTACAGGACATTATGATCCTATTCCAATGATATTCAACCTTTATTTTGTGTATTCATAAATAAGCTCACTTTAAAGAACTTCTTTTCTTCCTTTTAGTGTAAACTCGATAACATTAATTCATGTCCCAGCTTCATTCCCCCAATTTTATAAAACAAGTCAACACTCTTTCTTTTTTTTCTTCCCAATTAATATGGTGTGGAGGAATAAAATAGTCCTATTTGAGGAGAATTTTCATCGTGATCCATGTATTGACATTTTTATTTCAACTCTTCAAAACAAAGCCTGATACACTAATCAAAAGTTAGGTAGCTACTCATTTTGCAGTTTACATTCTTTAGTTTTTTCCAATAATAAATTATTTTTATCAATGGAAACTGCTGAAAACAAATTAAATCATATTGGCTAGGTGGTCTCAGATAGCACAGCATTTGCCAGGAAGGACTGATAATGAGATAAAAAATTACTGGCATTCATATTTGAAAAAGAAACTGATCAAAGCTAAGGAAATGGAATGTGACAAACAAAATCAGTATGCTAGCTCAAGTTCAGATACAATGGACAACTCTCTCTCTCCCCAGAAACTTGCAACACAAGATCCAAGTTATGCGTTGTTAGAAAACATGGACAAATCAATAGAACACTCAGATAACTTTTTCTCACAAAGCTACAACTTTTCCAAGGAGGCTTGTCAGAGCTCCCTACCAAAGCTGTTATTTTCTGAGTGGCTTTCAATGGATAATGTAAATGGTGGAAGTGGAAGCTCAGTGAATTCTGATGATTCCTTGGTCTTGGGGAATGAATTTGATCAAAATTCAACTTTCCAAGATGCTGTAATGCATATGTTAGAAGAGAACTTTGTTGAAGAGTATCATAATACTCTAATTCACAGTTCAACAACCACTGAGGTGTACAATTCCGATATTAAGTCTTCAAATCAAGAGGATGGAAGTGATTTCATCCATTGTATTCCGGGGGCTGATTTATGTAGCAATTTCAGCCTAACCAATGGTGCAATGTAAGCACCAGGAAGGAGTTAACAAGGGTGCTAAAAAAGAAAGAATAATTTGTAATTAAGCATACAGAAAACAAAACATAAATTTTAGCAATGTAAAGTTATACTTCAGATTGTTTGAATTTTACTCCTATTATTAACTCAAATAAATTCATGAGTAAAATAAAAAATAAGTGTATTTTATTGTTATTCTTCCACATGTATATTTGCTTTCAAAATAATGAGTGAACTTCTTGTGGTCTTCAATGTTCTTTTTCCTGCAAGTGTTGTTGCACATTTATTACACCGATTTATATGCTACATGATATATTTCTTTAGTCTCACAAATTAAAGTTTAAAGTTTTTACAAATATTAAAAAAGACAACAATAAATATATAATATTTTTGTATAATTTTACTAAAATAATTCACATTCTTAATAAATACATTACTTTGAATTATAATGGTTGAATAATTTATGAATGAATAAATTAGAAAAAAAATAAGTAATATCATATTATATTGAAAAGTATAT